AAATCCAAGAGCAAGGAGGTCTCAGTGACTTTTTGTGTGTGTGAGAGAGCTGGGCACGGGCAGAGCTGGGTAAGTGGATGTGACACTGGGAATTGCTCTGGCTTTTATCTCCCTTAGATCTCTCTGAGCCTAATAACTTTATTACAAGAGCCTCTCACCACAGCAAATCCCATTCTCTACATTCTGTTTTTACAGCCTTGCAAATAATTTCTTCTTAGGACTCGCCAAGTAATGTGCCTTTAGAAATGTCTGTATGTCCCTAAATCGCAATGCCTATTTCTGAGACCCTAATTCTAAAATAGAGCTGAACATTTCTGAGGAAGAATTACTTGGAATAAAGTAGGTGCTTTAAAATGGAGTTTCCTGGGGAAATGTGAGGAAGTTTTAGGGCTTTGTGGTCAGGAATAGTTTGAGAGCGTGGATCTGTAAACAGTGAACTGAACCAGACAGCATTAGGTGTATTAAGATGCTTGGGTCACAGAAAAACATCCATCATAGGACAGACACAATAGATTTAATGTTGGCAGTCGGTCCCTTTTGCAAGCAGGCATGTGCACTGAATCAGCAAAACCCAAACCAGAATAAGCAATTAATGAATGGAGCATGATGAGGAAGTGGCAGGGTGAATAGCAGGCTGAGCATTTGCTTTCTTTTAAGCCTGTTCATAATCTCTACAAAGGCCAAATGGAGATCAATTCATTTCCTGGTGAAGCTTTATTTCAGAGGACAGCACAAACGAAGCTTGTTTGGTACCAGGGGGGTTCATTTGTGGAGTTGTTTGTCACCAGAAGGACAAAGCCAGCAGGTTTTTTCCTCTGCCATTGAGATTTTCCAGCAGGAAGCAGTGCAGATGTGTAGGGAAGGGCTGGGAAGCATTCCCTATGGATTAAGGTATCCAGGGAGCTTGAACCTGCCTGTGCTGGCACAGCAGAACCTTGCAGTGGGATTTACAACATTTTATCCTTCAGCCACGGTGCTTTGCAGCCCAGCCATGGGGAAATCATTCGGTGCCATCAGTGCCCCATGGATGCATCAGGATTTCGCTGCCAGGCCTCCAGCTGCCAAGCTCCTGTGGGTTTTCTGTGGGCCAGAGGGAAGCTGAGGAGCTGCAGGCAGCAAAGCCAAGCCTTGGCTGTGTCTGGGTGTGTTTGGCTGTGCAGGAGGGGGGAGCTTTGGTGTTAGGGCTGGTGAAAAGGAGGTAAAAGTGCAATGGCCTTGGTGAGGATGGGAGAGGAGCCCAGAATTCCCCACTTTGCAGGTGTGCATTCAAACCTCTGGTGAGTGCAGGTGACGAGGGTGCCTTGGGGAGGTGTAGAGCTAAGCTCACCAGAAATCACATTTAAGCCTTTAAAGTTCATTGTGTATCTCTGCACATACTTTGATACGAGTTTGCTGCGTTTTATCAAATGTCTTACGGAATTATTTGGGCTGGAGAAGCCCCCATTGAGCCAAGGCCACCACCGTGTCCCCAGGTGCCACGTGCATGGCCAGTGCTGCTCCAGACACCCCTGGGCAGGCAGTGTGCACATCTGGGTGCCAGGGTGACAGAGGAGCCGTGTCACTGTGCCAGCCTTCAGGTGCTCCCCCAGCATCTCTGCTGTGGCAGCACCAAACCCTGCTCTGGGGGGGAGCAAGGCTTCTTCTGAAGGACCCCACTTGTGGGGCATCTCCAGCCTGTCACTAAAAATTGATTGTGCTTTGGTTTGGGGTTTTATGAGGGGACAGGGAGAAGCTGGAGTATTTTTATTTGTGGGTTTTTTTTTTTTCTTAACCTTGTGGTAATTCAGCTTTGGTTTGATTGGCAGGAAGAGGTGGTTTGTAATCCTTAGCTGCTCCAGGAATGTTTGCTGGGATTGCAGGTGATTTTTCTGCTGAGGGATCATGAGGCAGTAAATGCTGGGATATCCCTTTTCTGTTACTGAGACAGACAATAAACATCCTAATCTCACTGGCTGCTCTGAAGAGTGGATTTACAGCTGTGTGCTGAGCAGAAAACAAACGATCAGAGGATTCAAAGCAGGCTCTGCAGCAGGCAAACACGCCTTGGAGCAGAGCTGGGGCTTTATGCTTTTTGTCTTTTGAATTTGGCTGCCTTGATTAATCCAGCCTGATGTGTGCCAAGCTGTGCAGCAGAAACTCAGCCCTGCTTCCTCCTCCCCCAGCTCCCCTTCTCAGGCTGTTTGTGTCAGGGTTCTTACATAAACCAGGAACGGCAGAGATTCAGGTGAAAAGATGTTCTCTGGAAGAACATTTGTGGGTTTCCTTGCAGGAATCTGCAGAATTGGGCTTTATGTAGGATAAAGATCTGGGAGCCAGTAAAGCTGGTGCTGGTGGCAGTGCAGGAGTTGTGTCACCTCTGCACCCATCCAGATCCCTGGAGGAGGGGCTGCTGAGGATGTTGGTGTTGTTTTATGCAGGGTTTGATGTCAGCCATCAGCTCCTCAGTCTGTTCTGAGGTGAGAAAAGATGTCCTGGAATTTCCTGAGTTGGAAAGGAGCCCCAGGGGATCATCCAGTCCAATCCTGGTCCTGCACAGACACCCCTGGTGTCCCACCCTGGGCATCCCTGGAGCACTGTCCAAACTGTCCTGGAGCTCTGAAATCCCTGGGGAGCCTGGGCAGTGCCAGCACCCTCTGGGGAAAGAACCTTTCCTGATCTCCACCTGAACCTGGGCAGGGGGAGCCTGGTGGGAGAGGTGCAGGGAGGATGGCAATGAGCAGGAGATGAACCTCAAAGAGCTGGCTTTGGCTTTGCCTCCAGAGCTCTTGGATCACAGCTGAGCTCTTCATCCCCTGCAGCATTCCTTGGGGGAACGCTGCCCAGAGGTGAGCAATGATTATAAGGAAATGCTCCTGCTCCTGTGACAGCCTTGCCTTCATCAGAGCAGGCATCAACATCCACCAAAAGCTGTTTTTAATGTCTGAGTCAGTTTAGTTTGACTTGGCAGGATTTCAGGGTCACTTGTCGCTTTGCCCCATCGTGACCGTTCTTTCATCCATTTTAAAGGAAGATTTTTCCCTTTGGAAGATCCTTTTTGGTGTTTGGTTCCCTTCTGTCGAGCTCTTGGTTGCTGTAGGGTAGGCAATACTTAAATCAGGAAACTCAAACGTGTTTTCACCCAGCAAACTTGTTTAACTAAAGGAGATTCATAAAGAAAACTGTTTCTGTGGCAATCTTCATCTCCCAAGGCTCATTCTGGAGTCAGAAGAACGCCTGCTGTTGCCTAAGAAACACCCAGGACAATTAAATGCAGAGGCATTGCTGGGAGCTGCTGGGATGTCACTGCCTTTGGTCCTTCTCTGCTCCTCTGGGCAGGGTTTGCTCCGTGGTTCTGGGAACTCTGCTCCTGTTCCTTGTCCAGTCTGTCATGGATGTGGGGTGGGGAGGCTTCTTCTGCCCTTGCCCCACGTGGATTTATTGCAGGGGAAGCTGGAGGGTTGAGTTAAATTGTTGGAAGTGGTTTGAGATCTCCTGTTTGCTTTCCACAGGTGCTCTGTAAAGAGGAGGTGTCTGGTTGAGAGGAAATGTGGCAGGGAAAGAGCATCTGTGTCCCTGTGCTCCCTGCAGGGCTGGGGGACACCTGGATCACCCCTTCCCTCGGAGCTGCCCCAGCCCTGCCCCATGGCTGTGTCCTGGGACATGGACCTGCCCCATGGCTGTGTCCTGGGGCATGGACCTGCCCCATAGCTCTGTCCTGGGACATGGACCTGCCCCATGGCTGTGTCCCTGGGACATGGACCTGCCCCATAGCTCTGTCCCTGGAACATGGACCTGCCCCATGGCTGTGTCCTGGGACATGGACCTGCCCCATGGCTGTGTCCTGGGACATGGACCTGCCCCATGGCTGTCCCTGGGACATGGACCTGCCCCATGGCTGTGTCCCTGGGCAATGGACCTGCCCCAT